AAAGTTTGTTCATGTTAAACAATCTTTTATCATTATCACACCATTTGGATTTTTCCAAGATGGGAATAACATAACCATCCTCAATAATTTCCCACAAATCAAATTGATTAGATTGAACAAAAAATTTGAATCTAATGCGCCATTGAGCGTATGGGAAAATATCCAAACGAGGAGCAATATTAATAGCATATCCTAAGCAAGATGAATCATTCATATCCATAGAGATGAAATGCAAGAAGCACAATTAATCAAAATTAGATTAGCACTAATACAATAACTTGGATCTTTAACTCAAGGCGGTTAGTCCTTAAATCAAAGAGCACCAAGCTCTGATACCTCTTGTTAGACCCTAGAGGGGGGGTGATTAGGGTCTTATGCTAATCTAATCCGATTTAATAGCTAATTAAAATTATATAGATCAATATGTTCTTGCAAGAGATAGATATGAACAATAAGAACAATAAGAATATGCACAAATAAAATATGAGACAAGCAAAACACAAACACACGATATGTTTACGAGGTTCGGTCCCCACGACCTACGTCCCCGCTCCTCACCTCGAGGAGATATCCACTATCACAATCCAGTTTGGAAGCCGGAACTTCTACACACTCGGTTTACAAGTTCACCGAAAACTCTCACACTACACAATCACTCAACAATCACACTTTACACACTAAGTGTAGGAATCTAGCCCGTGTCCTCCTCCTCAAGTGCTCGATTACAACCTCTCCCTAGGTTCGTCAATCGACGCCACTCCTATTGGATTTGACCCCGTCTCTCTCTCCTCACACTTCTCTCGGTGTACAAGTGTATTACAAGTGATTCTCACAAATAAAAGTTAAATACAATGATTTTGTTCTCAAATAACAAGTGAGAACACAATGAAGCCTCACACTCACTAAATCACACCCCACAACCCACAATATATAATATGGAAATATCAAGCTCAATAAGTGTGTGTGATAATAGTGAATAAAACTCAATAAATAACTTAATGAATATAGCTAATCAAATGAAAGTGAAATAGTAAGCTATATGGAAAGAGTTTAGAAAAACTTCTCAATGAACAAGAGGAGCTGAAGAATATGATCCCAATGGAATATGAGAGCCTCTTCTTGTTGTAGAAAACTTTCTCTTGAAAACAGATTAACGAAACAACTCTTAAACAGCTCTTAAACGCGATTAATATCTTGCTAAACAATAAACTTGGATTTCTTGGTTGTTTTTGAAGAAGAGCAGTAATGGGGTATATATAGCACCCCAATACAACAGCTAGAAATAAGTAAAAGACCAAAAAGACCATTTGAAAAACTAACCGTTAGGCTTATTCTGTCACTTCGTCGGTCGACCGGTACGGTCAAAGCTAGCGGTCGACCGACGTAAATTTCGGTCGACCGAATGGAAATTTCGGTCGACCGACGGAAATTCCGGTCGACCGGAAAACACTTGAAAATTTCTCAGAAAACAGACAACCATCGGTCGACCGAAATCTGATATGGGTAAAAAGACAGGTTTTGGGCAGTTTTGAAAATTCGTTAAAAGTATCAATTTATATCCAAAAATAGTGAAACTTTGGGGGAAGTTTATAAATGATGAAATGAACATGTTTGAAAAGAAATTTTTGGAAAAACAAATTTCGTTTGTGAAAACTACCTGTTTTTTGAAAAATGCTTAGAAAACCTGTATTTTTATGAAAGTGAAAGTTGATATAGGACTTGTAAATATTCATATATATATTGTGCATATATTATATGTATATAATAAAGTATGAGAGAGCTGTAAACAAGAGATAAAGATATTTTAACAACGTTTAATGAAAAATCATCTATATGATAGAAAACGTCAAAAATCGTGTTAAGTGTATATATATTGAGCTTAGATATCATCATACAATATATATAAGTAAACTAACCAAATACCCAGGTAAATTCACGCAGATGAACTTGAATCTTTAATGCTTTAATGACGCGTGTTGAAATACCTGAAAAGAGAACAAAAACACAAAACACTAGAAAACTTATTAGTAATAAATTGTTTGTTAAATCATCATCAAAACTATAGGGTCAACAAGGATAACCCGATATCAGTTGATTATTCTAAATGAAGATTGATCATGTGAATAATTTATTCTTAATTGTTATAAAAATGATTAAGATATCCTTACTACCTTTGTTGAGATGAGATTCAATGATAATTAATCTTTCCTCACAAAACCCTGTCACGTGATCATGGAAGAGGAGATTCGATGATTTGTAATCTTACACCATGAAACTCTCACTGATCAGATCAACCAATAGTCATCAGTCCGTATCAGTCAACAAATTATTTTGTGTCAAATTCTTATGTTTGAAATCAAGATTTCCCACCGAGTAGTTTGTGTAAATCAACGAATTCATTGTTATTTACACCCTACTCCAATTCTTCACCTGGTCAAACCTTCAAATAGTTAGGACCAAAACCAAAATCCCCTCTCGATTCCTTCAATGAACGAGAGGCCCACAAACTAAACGATCAAACCTTCCTACAGTTAGGATCGTCTCAAAACTCCCACTTGGTCAAACCATACTACAGTTAGGACCACAATCAAAATCTCCTTTCGATTCATTTTGCGAACGAAAGGTCCACTTTTGAATTGAGTAATCAAACCTTATGACAGTTAGGATTATTCAAACCAATCCAGATTCTCTAAGTGAAGATCTCACTTTGAGTTTCCCTTTGCACCAGGTGATAGAATATAAAATTATTCTTCTCCAATTCTGGGTTTATCTCTACCAACAAACAAGAGACCAGGAGATAGAATATAAAATTCTTCCTCTCCGATTTTGGGTTTATCTCTACCAACAAACAAGAGACCGGGAGATAGAATATAAAATTCTTCTTCTACGATTCCAGGTTTATCTCTACCAACAAACAAGAGACCAGGAGATAGAATATAAAATTCTTCTTCTCCGATTTTGAGTTTTTCTCTACCAACAAACAAGAGATTGAAAGATAAAATTATTAATTCTTTCTTTATAATTTTTGGGGTTCATTTTCCTGCACGGAAAATGTAACCTGCTTACATTTTTAAAATCCATGTCGTTCACACATAGGGGATGTTATCTCTATCCCTTACTAGAGATAAGCCTACATCTAACACATGTAACCTACATATTCAACATTATAGTTTAAAGTCTAAAAGAGTTTAATTCTTTTAGCACAACGTTATATGTGAAACGGACCTAGATAATTCACATACTAGCCCGGTTCAAACGGTAATCGGTAAAGACATATCAAATCCGTTGATGGCTGAGGATTTGCCAAAAATCCTATAAGTATTATGATTATTTATTCTAAAACAATAATGAGTAATCATAATAAAACCTCAATGAGCAAAAGGATTCAATATATTGACCAAGAGTGTTCAAACAAAGCTACAAAAAAAAATATATGTTCTCCAATTACAAAAGTTTATATTGACTAATCTGATTTTCAAGTTTTGAAAGCTCTAATGCATAAGCCTTTTCAAGCTCAGCCGCCAATTTAATCTTGAAGGCTTCTTTGTCAACACTTTGAAGCGCGGCGACCTCTTGTTCCTTTTCAGCAAGTATTTTATCTTGAAGGTTCAGCTGCTGTAACAGGTTTTCTTCAACCTGAGTTTCCTGCTTCAACTCGGACTCCAAGACCTCATGAGCATCCTTGGCCATTGCAAGTTCCTCCTCTAAGCGAGCTATTTCCGCTCGACTCGATTCTAAATCCCGGCGTAGGTTAACCTTGGCTTGTGTTCTTTTGCCAACATTCACCCTAAGTTGATCACTTCGGGCTCTTAGCTTTTGAAGTTCGAGGTTAGCTAATTGTTGGGAATCACTCCACGCTTGCAACTTGGATTCCATGTGGGAAACGATGTAAGAGGGTATGCCTTTGGTACGAAGAGCTTGTAGAAGTTCAACATGTCGCTTCAAATCAACCAAATAAGCGTTGATTGAATCGGCTAACTCATTATACCCTTCCTCTTTGAACCCTGATATAAAACGCCCAAGAGATTTGTTATAACTCTCAAAGTACGATCCTTTGAAGAGAATACGATCCACCATAGAGTTCAAGAAGGGGATGAAGCCTTGGAGATTAGAACAGATGACGGCCTTATCCGGATCGTCGTCGACCAACAGAGCGTGAATCTGATCCGATAATGATGAAGAAAGATCTGCAAAGAGAACAAAAGAAATAAATATAAGATATGCACGCTCGCATACAGCAATGAATAGAATTATCCCAAATTCAATAGGAAATTCTATAATTTGATTACCTTGACTTGTCGATGCTGGGACACGCTCCACGACAACCGAAGTTTGTGCAGAGATGGTGCTGGACGGTGGATTCACCACATCAGGCTGTTGTTCAATTGCGATTTCTGATGGCTTCGGATTCAAATCGACAAGATCTTGAGGAGCAAATCCTATGAATGAGAAATGGATGAATGAACATTCTCTAAATATGGACCTATTTACGGGATACATTAGAGGAAAAATGTACCAAGTTGAGCCGAAGTAGCAGGGGGTTGCTCTTCTACTGTAGCCTTCGACCCTCCTGCTTCATGAACCACTGGAGTCGGAGCGGAAGGCACAACAGGTTCAACCTCGACAATAGCGGAAGTTGGAGGAATAGTAACTGGCGGGTCAACTTCAGCTGGGGGACTTGGCAAAAGTAAGAAACCCAAGCCTTCAGGTTGATCGCACTCACCAATGACGATAGAAGCATCAACTTCATTCGTTGGTCATACGTCTAAGATTCTTATTTCAGTCATCCAAAAACAATAAGAGATGAAAGTATAGTTGAAAACTTGAGTCTGAAAGGACATACCTTTTGATGCACCTACTTCAGTTGAATCAACTCGAGTAGTTGGTCTTGCAGTAGCAGGTGGAGCCGGAGCTGACAGTATATCGGAGATCTCCTGGTGTACATCTTCGGAAATATCAAGATCAAAATCACGTTCATCGAAATCTCCGATACTCATATCATGGGTAAGTTCTGTGTCTCTCGGTTCGTTGACAGGGATGTCTATTAAGCAGAAGAATCCGTCAACGCACATGCAAGAAATACGAAAGAATCAAAGCAAACAAAATAAGGTTACCTTCAATAGCAGTTGCGGGATCAGCAGCGCTACTACCCGCACTCACCTCCTTTAGTTTAACTAAAAGAAGATAAAGCGCACAAGTTAGTAGGAGAGGAACACGTTCCGATCCACTTATCTCCCGGAAATGCCCCCCAAATGAGAAAACATTTGTACCTGTGTCAGCGGTTGGCGAGGTCGATGTAGTGACCGGAGGAGGAGCAATGTCCATATTAAGGGGTTCTTCACTCATCGCTCTTTGTACTTGTTGAGTGAAGCTGGATTCATCAACATCCATTAAACCCGGAGAAGAAGGCTCGGGAATGATTTCTCCTGAAGCTGGATTCATCAACATCCATTAAACCCGGAGAAGAAGGCTCGGGAATGATTTCTCCTTCCTCTTCTGGCTCAACTGCAATAGCAAAAGAATAAATAAGATGCTATATTCAAAGATAAGATAATGAAAAGGAGACAAAATGAGATCTTACCCCCTTTATCAACTGGAAGATCCTGAGTAATTTTCTCTTCAAGTAACGGGGAAAGTTGACGTTGGTGATGAGTTATCTTCTTAATCCTCTTTGAAGCACGAGAATCACGAGGAACCTCAGAGCTCTCATGGCGAAATTTGGTGCGTAGTTCGGTTCCTTGAGCTGGCCGAGGTTGAACCTCAGAAGGAGCAGTAGGCCGAGATCTTTTCCGCCTCTTCCTCCCGCGCGGGCCATTGAACAGTCATCTTGTTGGAAGTCGACAAAGGAATGTTCTTTTCCTTCATCTGTATACCTTTTGAAGGAATACCCGGTGACGAGGGTGAAGAAGCCCGACGAGTTCTGTAGGCCACAGGAGAAGGAGGAATATTAATCTCCGTCTCATCTTCCTCACTGGATGTCTCGAAGTCGTCACTCTCTTCGGAATCAGCTGCCTGTTTTCCTTTGTGGGAAGATGTGGCAGGTTCCTTTCCTTTTCTAGATACAATTCTCCGAACCACAGCCTCGGATTCCAGTTCGGAAATCTTCTTCTTCGCAAGAGGAGTGTTGGCGGCCAAAATCCACCGGCAGTAGAGGAAAGTTAAGTGAAGATCAGGCTCAGCGACAGGCAAACTAAACTGAGCTTCGCTGACCGTAGCCGAATTGTCACGCAAAACGGCAAGGAAAATAAGGCTCGATCCTGCAAAGGTTCTTCGATCGGAAAATATTATAACCTGGTCGAATGTTCATGAGCCAATGGAAGCTGCCCATGTCGAGAGAAGTCCTATTAGCCCCAGGCATTTCCTCATCAACGAGAGTGTCATTATAGGCACCAGAAAATCGAGGGAAACACTTATAAAATTCCCAGCACTTGGCATTTTTAAACTGCCTCACCCTGTCAGGCCACTGTCGGGAAGGATACAACCACTTACATCCCTCCAAGAGCTGCAGCAACGGAATTTCTGGATCAGACACGTCAGGTGCTGACATCATGTCCGTTCGGTGGAGGACCAGCCACGCCATTAAATATGTGTACGGCAGTTCAACGCTCGACAGGGGAATCTTAGTCGAAGGCTCAGCACCCGTTTTTGTAAAAGTGGTGGCCAAGTTACGCAAACCACTATGGAGGTCAGCCATCATAGCGGAGAGTAAAGATAACCTACCTCCGACGGCTAGTTGCACGGCGGGAAGGAGAACCTCAATAGGAAGCGCCTCGGAAGATTGATGCGGCACTACACATTTCTTTAGCCATATAGCTAGATAACCGGAGAGGAGAGCGCAGGCTTCATTCTCTTTGTGGATTGCCACAAGAAAGTACTGAATTTTGTGCCTCTAAGAAAATCACCTTCAGATGACTCAGTTCTGTAAGACTGAGCATTAATCTTCATAATCAGCCCATTAACGTCAGCAGGGGTCAGAATCGGCGATTCACAGACAGCTTCACCGGTCGTGCTCTCGAGGTTCTGAAACAAGTAGTCGGCGTACTGTTTTAAACTGGCTCGAGCCGCCTTCTTACTCTTCACTTCAATGTTGGCTATCGCTGTCTGATAATGACAAGTTAACTCGCAGAGAATGTCATAAGCAGGAGAGCCAGCCTTCTTCATCTTCATAAGCTGACGATTGTTGGGAAAATATTCTTGATAAGGAGTATTCCCCAACGGCAATCCGGATACTTTCATCATTTCGTGGAGCGGAAGCCCTAACTCCCCATATTTGGTAAGAAATGTATTTGTCTCCGAAATATAAGACTCGAACAAGGCAAGGAAGTGATCTACACTGACTGGGAGTCCATGCATGCTGGCTCGGATTGGAGCATATAATCCCAAATTCCTTAACTCTTGATCCCACCGATGGAGTACATAGTTGGTCATCCTAGCCCACCATTTGTCGGGAAGAGAATGAACCCATCCATAACATCTGAATTTTGGAATGGGAAATTCTCTGCCAACCCGAGCGAGCCTATTCTTTACCGTATTGGCCCTTATCATCAGTTCATTCTGGGGGCCACCATCTGGTCCAAATATTCCCGGATGAAGACCACGGATATTATGCCTACCGATAGAGCCAGGAGCACTAACATCGTGACCAATGAATCCGCAATGAATGCGCTCATGATCTTCTGTCAGGTGCCACATCATTTTCCTCGAAACAGCCAGATTCCTTAATTGCAGAATTGAATAATGGCGAGGGAATGGAGGAAGGAATAGAAAAGCACCTTCGTGCTCATTCAACCAAATTTCAGGCCCGCGGCAAAGAGTATCTGGATCTTCAACCGAATCCCCGAATAAATAATCTGTCTTCTTTAAAGGCTCTGTGGAATCCCGGGTTGGAGTTAAAGGCGAATCAGTCAACAAGGCACGTAAGGTGCGACGATTGCCTTCACGAATCAATCCGGGGATGCTATCATCACAACCCTCGTTAAATTGGCGGGCTTCTCTAACCAGAAAGTCACCGCTGAAGGAGGCGTGAAGAATACCGCTCTGACCTGGGTCTTCTCTATCAGAGAAGGCCACAGAGGGAAAAGGGACTGCAGAGAAAAGTTGGAAAACAGTTGAATGGAAAGGCTAAACATAGCAAAACCCCCCACACTTAGCCGACGCGGCAATGATTGCTGCCGTGCGTTACCGCGGTAGCATACACTGTCGCGCTCAGGCGCGACAGCACGAGTTGCCGCGGTAACTGAACAACGGTCCTTAATGTTGAAAAGCCTCTAATTCGATGAAAACTCGAATTTTGGCCGTGGTACACATCTTGATTGAACAAGATACGTATTTTTCAGCGTCAGTCCTCTTAGAGGAGAACGTCAACTCTTCCTGGATGCCCCTCAAAGGAGACAAGCGAGGTGATCTGGTCAAAAACAGTATTTTTAAACAGATAAAGAGTTGGGAAATTACCTCCAAACGGCATGGCAGTAATCTCGACCTCCTCAGGTGCTGGTGCCGCAGATTTCCCCTTCGAAACACGAGCCTTCTTGGGAGACATGATGAAATCGACCTAAAGAATCAAAAAACTAAGGTTTTTAGATGAGATCCCGAGCAAAAGTCAAAATTAAAACCCAAAACATGATCAATAGGTTTGGTTTTACCTGAGGATAAAAGATATTAACCTCGAAAATTGAAAGAACCAAGGAAAATCTCAAAGTTTGGAAAAAAATGTGAAACCCTAGATCCGTTCGAACAGAAAATAGCCCAAAGATGAAGTAGTGAGGAGGAGAAAAGCCAAAGGTCACTTTATATGGGAGATTTGAAGAGTTTCGAACTCAAAGAAGCGGGTAAAAATGACCCGAAAAAAAAAGCCCAGCATTAGACTTATAACATGACTGACCGAAGCGCTGCGCGGCACTCGACACTGTCGCGCTCGAGCGCGACAGTCTATGTTGCCACGCTCAAGCGCGATAGTATAAGCTGCCGCGGCAGTTCACACGCCATAGTCCATTCTGTCGTGCAGGAGCACTGTGCATACACAGTAATTCTTTGGGTATCTGGATACATATATCTCCCTCTGTATTTGGAATATTTCCCGAACACTCCGATGAGTATATGAGTATAAACTGCATCTCCCTGAACCTCCCAACGGGTATATGAGGTTAAACTATTTCCCGAACACTCCAATATAGTATATGAGTATAAACTATTTCTCAAATTCTTCGACAGCAGTTCTAATTCGAGACTTTGACAACGGCCACGCGATAAACGCAGCACCGGAGGAATTTTAGCTATTCTACAAAGCACTGAATAGGCTAAAAAATGAAAAAGTCAAGGATTGAAGCCATTCACAAACCGTTCTATGCAATTTCCTCAACGAAGCACTGGAGAGATTGCAAGGAAAGCTTATCATATCCAAAGTGTCCCAGACCCCTCTCTAAAAAATGATGAGTCTGAGATACTTTGGAGGGGGTATCTGTAGGCGTCAAAAATGCTTATAGACATCCAAATACCACTCAAGACAACATAGAAGAACAATATACACATCATCAAGCAACACATGGAGGCGCGGCAGGACATGGTGCCGCGGCTAAGGCGCGGCAGACCATGGTGCCGCGGCTAAGGCGCTGCAGCCTAGGGTGCCGCGGCTTTGGCGCGACAGCTTAAGGTGCCGCGGCTTAGGCGCGATAACCTATGGTGTCGCGGCTATTATTAGGAGAGTGCTGTGGCGGTTACAAGACAGTTGTACGATGATTTATTTGAGCCCACGTGGGAGAACGGTTTCAAGCACGATGAAACGTGCTGGTAACCGCCTCTTTGGCCGCGGCAGTCTATACTGCCGCGCCAATAGCCGCGGCAGTGTAGACTGTAGCGGCCAAAGACAAAACATCTGGTCGGTTATTTTGCCCCCGTTTCAACTGTTGTGCACTCCTACCCCTATAAATACCTCCCTACACACGAAATAAAGGACATAGAGCATTTTGGAGCAGAAGAGGCTTGAGCAATCAATTTCCAAATTATCCAAAAGCCCAGAATGAAGTCGTGTAGCCTGTAGAAGCCGGAGAAAATCAAAAATCCAATATGAAAAGAAATCATATTCAAAATGGTTGGCCACAAAGAAACGACGATATCTCCTAATCCGGAAGGCGGAATTTAACATATAATATATGAAAATCGCCTATCTCGACGAGACGAAGCTATCCGTGAAATCAGAATTTGGAAATAGTAGGCATCGTTGTTGGCATCGATGTGGGCATCGATGCTGGCATCGATACCTGCATCGATGCCTGCATCGATACCAGATTACTGTAGCGCGCGTCAATGGCTGATTT